CACGCATTCCATACATCAAATCAATTTTATCTTTCCGTCTATTCAATGCCATTTATCTCGGGGACGTCCTCCAATTGCTAATAACTACTCCTGCGCAATTTTGGGTTGGCTCGAAATTCTATCGCAGTGCTTACAAGTCTCTTACGCATGGGAGTGCAACCATGGACGTTCTTGTCATGCTTGGAACCTCGGCAGCATACTTCTATTCCCTTTGCGTTATGCTATCTGCCATATTCAACTACACTCCCGACTATCGCCCCTTCCTCTTCTTCGAGACGAGCACCATGCTCATAATGTTTGTCTCACTTGGCAGATACCTTGAGAACAAGGCGAAGGGTAAAACTAGCGCTGCACTTACGGATCTCATGTCCCTCGCTCCATCCATGGCGACAATCTACACAGATGCTCCTGCTTGCACCCAGGAAAAAAAGATTGCTACCGAGCTCGTTCAAGTCGGCGATACGGTCAAACTTGTACCCGGAGACAAGGTACCTGCGGACGGCACAGTGGTCCGTGGTTCTTCTAGCCTTGACGAGAGTGCGATCACGGGCGAAGCAGTACCAGTCCTCAAGCAAGTTGGAGACACCGTCATTGGCGGGACAGTCAACTGTCTGGGGACATTTGACATGCTTGTAACACGAGCAGGGAAAGATACCGCACTATCACAGATTGTACGGCTCGTCGAGGAGGCCCAGACATCAAAGGCGCCGATCCAGGCATTTGCGGATCGAGTGGCTGGTTACTTTGTCCCTTCAGTCATCTCACTCGCGGCAATCACGTTCATCGGGTGGGCTATTGTCGCCAGTGTAGTACATGAAGAGAGCTTGCCCAAGATGTTCTTGAAGCACGGCGCCAGTAAAATCGCGGTCTGCCTTCAAATGTGCATCAGTGTCGTCGTTGTGGCTTGTCCGTGTGCATTAGGATTGGCGACTCCGACGGCAATCATGGTCGGTACAGGCATTGGCGCCAAGAACGGCATTTTGATCAAGGGTGGACGGGCTTTAGAGGCAAGTAAAGCTATCAAAAGAGTCATTCTGGACAAGACGGGTACTGTAACAGTCGGGAAGCTCAGCGTTGCTGGGATGCATTGGGTACCAAGCGCGTCAGACCACCATGTTATCGGTAATGACGAACTGTACGCTGGCGATGCAGGACTAGGTGGTGTCTGCGCAGATGGTGTCACGGGCAGAAGGGAAGCACTGGCAATGATTAGTGCCATTGAAGCGAAGTCAGAACATCCCCTTGGCAAGGCTATCGCGGTTTACGGCAAGGATCTCCTTGGCATAGATGGCCCGAAAACTACTGTGGAAGACTTCGAAAGCACTACTGGTGCAGGTGTGAAGGCGATAGTAACATGCGGCGGACGCAGGTCCACTATCCTCGTGGGAAAGGCAGGTTTCATCACCCAAGCAGAAGACGCCTATATCCCTAGTTCACTATTCAACTACCAGAAGCAAGAGACGGAACTTGGAAGGACGGTCGTTTTTGTCTCCATCCTGCCGAAAACAAACTCTGCTCTTCCCCTTCCGATCGTCGGTATATCGTTGTCGGATGCGCCGAAACCGTCAAGTAAACATGCAATCCAGGCTCTTCATGCGATGGGTATTGAGGTTAACATGATGACCGGAGATGGAAAAGCAACAGCACTTGCCATCGCAAAGCAAGTCGGCATCAGGCCCGAAGGCATCTGGGCTGAAATGAGTCCTGGCGGTAAAGCAGCGGTGATCTCTGAACTCATTGAGAAGCACGGTAGCGCTGTTGCAATGGTCCTGTCTTTTATTTCTATCTTAATCCTTGTGTATTGACGTTTTAACAGGTTGGAGACGGGATCAACGATTCGCCAGCGCTTGTAGCGTCGACTGTTGGCATTGCACTCTCCTCTGGCACTTCTGTCGCAATCGAAGCAGCTGATATCGTTCTCATGCGTTCCGATCTGTTGGACGTTGTTGCCGCCATTCATCTCTCGCGAAAAATCTTCTCTGTCATAAAGCGCAATCTCATCTGGGCCTGTATCTACAACGTCGTCGGCATACCACTTGCTATGGGTATCTTCCTGCCATTTGGATTGTATATGCACCCAATGCTCTCGGGGGCAGCGATGGCGTTCTCCAGTGTTAGCGTTGTGACAAGTTCACTTACGCTCAAGTGGTGGCGCCGACCGGAGAGCAGCATTATGCCTGGGGATGACCTGGTCGGCACCGCTGAGAGTGGTGCAGGCTGGACAGGCATGTTTATGGACAGTGCGGGTCCGGTTTTGGATAGTATACGAGGTTTGGTGAGTGGAGGGAGAAGCGATGGATATAGCCAGTTACCTGTAGAGATGAGCACAGCAAATCTTGGTGCTGCTGCTCGTGTATGAGAAACCAGTTGGATATTTATTCTGTTGTACTTATCGTGTATATCTCTGTATGTAAATCGTTCCTTTAGTTAGATCATTAATACGCTCGCTTCTGTGTTGATTTTCGTGATCAGAACTTGTCGGACCGAAGTGTGGCGTCGGAGTACGTCAACTTAAACTCGCCCACAATGGCCAATATAGGAAGCGTCTTCTTAGGAGACAACGTGCGCCACCGAATGCTTTCCAACTCATCTCACACCTCTCCGCCATCATCTACCCCGCCATCATCCCCTCCCCCATCCGCCATCTCTGCTGTTTTCCCCCGCGGTCTCTCGCAGTCCTCTCCCTCACTCCAGGCCCAGTCGAACCAGCTCACGACTTCGATCGACCCACGCTTGGCACTCGACCTTCGCCTGCGCTGGCTCGAGGCGCTCCTTGTCGGCGTTGGAGTCAGCGGCGGAAACGTGTCCAAGACGGGACGTAAATCCACAGAGGAGGCCCATACACCCTCTCTATGTCGCGCTGCTGGAGACCTACAGCAGCGTCTCGACGTCATCGTAGCCTCAAACGACGGACTCAGGCGTTTCCTGGCACAATGTGCGTTGTTCGTTCATGACTTGATCTCGCACTCACTCCGACCTCACAGACGACCAGTATGCACACTTCCTTAGTCCAGCATTCGCGCTGTCCGACCCCACCTCCGAGGGGAACACGATGTCCGTCGCGCAGCTCGAGGCGCTCCTCACCGAGATGGAGCCTGATATTCGTGCTGCGGAACGCGACATGCGAGAGATCGAGATGTTGGAGAGTAAGGGCGTGACGGGGGCGGGCAAGCTTGGGTGTAAGTTGTGTTCAATCTATCTACCCGTCATCCTTTGCTAAATACACCATTGATTCTCAGCATACGAAGAATTGCAACCGCGGCTTGATAAACTATTGATCCAATACCGGGAAGACGCAGAATTGGCAGAATCGTTAGAGAAAAGAATAGCTAGTCTTGTTGAGCGGCATGCAACTCAGGTATGTGTGTTGATGATGTGCTGTTTAGACGACTTTTACATCTGAGCAACCAGGTCGATACGCTCTCTGAGTTGTTCGTAGCCTGGGACGACGCAGTTACTGACGTCGAAGACAGACTCGTTCGATTCGAAAAGGAAAAAAGTGAGAGACGGCGTTTGGGACTCGAGCAATGACGAACGAGAGACAATATATACCCTACTAGTTTGTATACCACGGGGGGAACGGATGCATGCTTCACCACGCTCCTTTTGTCGTTCCATCCCCAATGCTCGACCAATAGTGCAGCTTCCTCGAAAGCTCTTTCACCAGTTGGCTCTCTGATACGAGAGATGACTTCAATGCTGGTCGGCAAAACGCCCATTAAGTATTAGTACTGGCATTAATAGACCATATAATACCATCAATTTGTATATCCTGCACTGCTCCTGCCCGACCTTCCGTACTCAACCTCCGCCATACCCAGGTCCGCTGGTGTATGGGGTTGCTCCGCGCCCTTTACATCAAACACACTACCAAGACCCGCAGGGAACGTCGATGTCGGGAGGTTCATCAAATGGTTCGGCACACGCGTGAGATATACACGGTGCAGCGCATCTTCTGCAGCACGGTATTCTGCCATCCTGAGGGACGACCCGAAGCCCTCACCGAGCTTATCAGCGCCAGAGTAGATGCCGACAACGAAGACGGGGGAATTTGAAAATCGACCAGTCTCTTTGAGTAGTCTGTTGTAGTAATGGAATGCGACACATGAACACAAGCAGGGCAGAAAAAAAAGATGACATACCGAGATTTTGGATATTCACGGCCAAGCTTTTTAATCATTTCTAGTAGGGCTATTTTAGGTTGGCGGAACTTGATCATGCCACGGAGGTCGATTTCGCGCGATAGAAAATATGAGTGTACGAACTGGCGCGCGGAGAGGAGGGAGAGTTTCTCGTATATAAGGGCTGTGATTGCGCGTGGGACGGATGCAAGGGCGTCTGAGTAAGTGACATCATCCTACAGAGGTCTGAGCAAGAATTTGAGTAGAATAAATAACGACACCTACGGTACGGTGCCAGCGTAGAAGAGGTGTGGCGCCCATTTCCTGTGCGACGGCAGCACAAGTGTTTGTCCCGACATGTGCACTGACAGCGGCTTTGAGGACACGCGTGGGGAGATGGGGGTATGCGGTCTGGATGAACTCTGAGGCAAAGAGGCCGAGTAGAGCGTTGCCTATGGGGGTGAGGTGAGCATTTGTGTGTTGTATCTTCTCGTGAGGGGCCGTTTGTTTCTGGAAATTGGCAAAAGAGGAGTGGGTGCAGACACGCAAGACGGACTGTGGGGTAGAAAGAACAGAAGCGAGGCCTATTCTGTGTGCAAAAGCGGAGAGGGCAGACGGGGGCGGGGGTTGGGTGGAAGCCCAGGCTTCTGGTGCAAAGGGGGGTTTTGGAATTTCTGTCTGTTTGAAGATAGCTTCTCGCGGAGGAAAGCGGGGAAGATGCGCCGTCGACACCGACGCAAGTTTGGCTGCCGTCGACACCAGCCGTTTCTGCGCCGCCATGGTCGATGTTCGCCAAACCACGCCGCCCTTGCCAATATTTTTTGATCTCGGCTTTCCCCGGCCAAACCCCGCCAGAAAAAGATGATGCCATCTCAAAAATTCCCTCTAGCCGACTTGAACGACTGACCTCGTCATGTTCTAGTACTAGTGACGCGCTCTACCAACTGAGCTAAGAGGGACTTGTAATACATAATCTGCATCGCTTATAGTATTGCATACAAAAGCTCAAGCGATACATAGAAAATTAGCCTATCGTCCAAGCAAAAGGCATAAATTTAGTAAGAGATCATCTACGACTACATACCCAACGTTCAGCAAACAAGATCAAAAAGTCCATAAATCATAAGATTCCCCAGCCCTTACTTCCTATCCGTAACATCATCTTCCGCATCACTTGCCATCGTCCTTCTCGACAACGATGCAGGAGACGCAGCGCTACCCTTCGACAACACAGTCGACGACCTTCTTCCCGGGCTCCCGCTCAGCCGATTCACCGCCCGATTCGGCGACGAGGGCGTCGGCGGGCTGGACCCTGACACGCTATTCCTGTTACTGAAATTCGATGCCAGACTAGCCACGTTCCCTGTCCTTGGTCCCCGAGTGACTCTTGGCGAGCGCGTTGTGATGCCGCCCTGTGCTGTGCCACTCTGCCCTGAACCTGCGCGAGCTAGAGTAGTCGTTCGACCCGCGTTGAAGACGACATCCTCCGGGGGTGACGGGCTTCTTGAAGCCAGCTTGGCTGCAGAATTACTTCTGGGGGTAGGGGGACTGGCAGCACCCGACCCTCCTCCGTTTGTACGTCTCTGTGGTGTGGGCGGGATCACAGTAGTGGAAGGCGCGGCGACTGGGGAATATGATGGAGGTGGGTCAACAAAGGTCGGATGAGTTGCAGGCGGAGACTGTGGGTCAAATTCAGGCGGGGGCTCCCTGAAAGCAGGACGCGAAGGCTGGTCGTAAAACTCGGGCGGGGGTTCTTTAAATGTGGGTCTGTCAGTTGGAGGCGGGACCGCAGGTGGAGAAGGCGGGACTGCAGGTGGAGAAGGCGGGACCGCAGGAGCTTGCACGGGCGAAGTTGAGGGAAGAAGTTCAATGACAGGTGCAGGAGGCTCGGGTACAGAGGGTGGTGGTGGCGGCGGTGGCGGTGGGACAACTGGCAGCGGCGGAGGGGGTGGAACAGCTAGTGCTGCAACAACTGGTGTAGGTGCCACAGGTGGTGGTGTCGGTGTCGGTGGTGACACAATCCGAGTTGGCGGAGATGATGACTTTTCTGGCGTTCTAGGAGATTTCATCAATGACGGATTTTGCGCGATTTGCTGGGCGGCCAATAGCTGCTGTGCGTCAGCACCGGCAGAAATGCGGCTTCGACTGAGGCGCATGTCAACAGGCGCCGTTCGCTTTCGTGTCAGGAATCTGCGTTCTGATTCTTTTCTTTTGCGGCTGATCGTGGGCGGAAGGATGGCTTCATAATGTTGAACAAGATCGATGAACAGGACTTGTTTGCAAGTGAGCACATGTATCCAGAAACAAAGTGGAAGAAGCTCACGAGTCGGATGACGGTCTTGTATAGAGATTTCTGTTTCAATCTTCGGCCGAACGACAGCTACAGATAGTCAGCGAATAGCGGAAACTTTGAATGGTAAGCGACTAACCCCGGCCCACAGAGAGTGCTAGCTTGGTGATGTAAACCTCGTTGTCCTCCTCAACAGTTGTGTTGTCAATCAATCTGCAGATGTCAGATCAGCAAACCCTTTACACTGATTGAGCAAACCACTAACGTCTTCAGATGCTTCACCATAAGATCCAATACATACAGATGCACTCTCGGAAGCCTCTGCAATGCAGCACACAAGCTCGCTATATGCTCCTCGCGAGACTTCTCCGCCTCCTTAGCCGCTGATGATCCAACAGTGGGGTACAATTTACGCAGCTCATCCCAGCCCTCATAAAGTGCTAAAGGAGGATCCAGCTCCAGGATCCACAGCTTAATGGTACTGGCAATAACAGGTGCATCATACTTGGTGAACAAATGAGCTGGAATTGGTTGTCCGTCGGGGAAGGCATTGAGTGCCTCACGGAGATGGTGCACCGCAGGAAGAGGAACCTCGTATATCCACGATTTGCGGCGCTCTGTGTTGGTTGATGGGGAAATTGAGTAAATGACATCGAAAGTGTAAGGAAGGAACACCTCACCATTGTCATTGGGAAGCCTCTTATAGGCCTCCTGCAAACCTTCAAACAGTGCCGTGAGCACGAGAGGGACAAGTTCTTTCTTTTCTTCTCCTGTCGTGAGGGCATGCCACCCCCCTTCCGCCCAGCGTCTGAGATCAATGCCAAAGACGACATCAGACCCGTCATGCGCGACACTCTCATAAACCTGTGCGTCCGGGCGGAACGGTCCAGTGCGATATCGTTCGATGAGGGCAGTCAAGTCATTTTCAGGCTGATATGATGCTACGAGTGTTGTCTGGCGGTCAAGGGACGGTTCCAAGGACTTGGGCAGGTTGGAAAGAGTGCCTTGATATTGCAAGAGGACTATTCATAACATAAATCTAATATGAAAGTTCATCAAAGGATGGACACTGACCAGTTTTGACTGCACGCAAACGTTCCATTTCTAAACGTTGAAGTAGTTTAAGTGCCTCTTCAAGACGTTCCTCAAGGGTGAGCCGGTGCCGGTCAAGCTTCCGCACTGCTTTGCGGTATATATTGTCAGCAATATCAGCCTCATGCCTAGCCTTCATGTAGGCAGGCTCTCCATTGTTTGTGTTGCTCAAGACCTTGCTGACGAGGTTGACAAAATTCCCTCCGGTCCTCTTGATGACAGCTTCAGCTTGCTTGGCACTGACGCCAAGGGTGCCTGCATCCTGCTCGGAAGTCTGCTTGTTATCCAAATTGAATGCCTAGAAAGATATTACTTCCATCAATATGCTGAGTAAAAGGTAATATGAAAAACATTCTCAGACCTTCGGGCGGAACTGGTAAAATGCATCATCCGAGTGCTCAAACTGATTGCCAAACTCGCCGATCCGACGCAACAGCCCCTCACGTTCCGTCAGGTCCCGTGCAGCATCCTCTGCGACATCCAGACTTCCACCGAAGCCGGGAACATTAGCGTTGAGCCAGGAAACAAACTCTTCCCCATTAAAGCAATCTGGGTACTCGCCAAGGAGAGGGAAACGCACAGGTCGCAATGGCAGCTCTGCAGCAGCTCGGACTAAGAGTTGCGACACGTTAGCTGGAGAGAGGGAAAGTCCTGCTAGGAGAATTTGTGTAGATGGTAGTGGTACCGGTGGGTTCAAAGGTGACATTGGTGGTGGTGATGATGCTGTGATCGGTGGTGTTTGCGGATTGTCTATATCCACAGCCTTGCCTTTGCCTTTGTCAGGTTTGAAAGAAGGTTGCTCGTCATCATCTGTGAGAGAAGATTGCAGGGGAACACCACTCTTCTTCTGGATTTCCTTCAATCGTTGGGTGATACGCTCGGACACGCTAGCGGTGCGTGGGGGTGGGGCACGACCATCAGCTGGGCGAAGTCGTGGAGAAGATGTATACTTGTCTGGGATATTTGCATCATTGTTGGGAGCGAACTTTGCGCTGCGGAAAAGATGAATTTTGTGAACTACTTAAGTATCAGGAACAGAGAACGAACGTACTCATCTTCAGCCTCGTCGGCACGTCTCGTTTTCGCAAGATACTGTTGCTTAAGCTTTCCTACTTCCACCTGAGCCTGTTCATAAGATTTGAGCCAATTATCGAGCACTGTGGCCTTGTTTGACTTGATACGCTCCTACAAGACGGCGTCAGATAAAAAAGCGTAGATGCTCTGGGGCACACTAACCGCGTATCCACCGGCCCATTGCTCAAAAGGATCCGCTACTAGCGTGTCAAGTTCCTTTGCAATGTTCCTGTGGGCTTGGCCCTGAATAACAGACTCTGCCTGAAGCCCGCGGAAGGCCGTGAAGAGAGATGCACCATCGTCTGCATCAAAGCCCGTTCCTTTCAAACGGAAATACTTGAGAAGAAGATGCTATCACACTAAGCCTGTACTGACCAGCACGTCCAGTTGATGCAGGATTTATGAGAGCAGAAGCAAGATGACCCTCCACCGTTGCGCGAGCCTAGCAAAGAAACCTTGAACATTGGCGGGTAGATGATTAGAGAAGTCAATACTCTTATGAACGCAAGAATTTCTGCATTTTCAGCGACGCCCTAGAAGTGTCCGTCAACCGGAGGCAAACCTTTGGGCAAAATAGGACATACCTGGTCTAATTTACTAAAGAGGACCTGTAAGCCTCTGCGATAGTCCTGGGACCAAAACGAATTTGTAAAGTTCAATGGCAGGGATAAAACCGCCATTGTTAGGTGTTCTTGGAAAAGGTACAAGTCAAAGCAGGCTTGTGCGTGTCGGTCGCTTGAACGTTTGACGGTCGTGTTTATCGCACGTGGCGCGATAATATCAAATTCATGCTCTTTATTAGTTCTTTATTTTCCAAGAAAAGTCAACGTCTTGAGAAAATGCATGCCTCTTGGGCAACTGGCTACCATTGATCACAGCGAATCCTTGATATCAATGTACCTCGAAGAAAAACCGGTGCGAACCCGAGCAGAGGCAGCACTAACCCGGGATCTGCCGAATCTCTCGACCTGCATTTCCGAAGTAAGTATTTCAGTGATAGCCTCATAGCTAGTATTGATTGAAACAACATGACAAATTATCTTGAGTCCATTCATATCATAAGGCAGCAATTTAAACGTCGCGTCAGAGAGGCTTCTGCTCGACAGATACGTAACCTCGAGCAATTTTTTTAACACGCCCAGTAGCTGCTGATACTCAAGGTGTTTGTATGTTATACATTATATACTAGTGATAGGGTGGAATGAAACGAGTCGACCTAATAGCTTATCAAGTCTCAAAAATTGAAGTATACAGAATGAAGAGACCTTTGCTAAAATTGCTAAAAAATTATTTGATAGAGGGTACAATTTGGCACAACAGACTTTAGACTTGTCAAGATCAGAGCTATTATGACAAATGGGTAGTTACCTTCAAATCTCGCCAGATGCCTCAAGTTGCCTGATCTTGCTAGGCTTGCGCAAGAGCTCCGGTGCGATATAAGGTACTGAATAAAAGACGATGTTATTGAAACACAAGCGATGACGACGTTGTGGCGCACAAACA